CTCTCGCTAAGGAGGCAGATTCTGTCGTTTCCGGCGGTATTTGCTGAAAATGCAGCGGCTTTGTTGGCAATGGCTGCATAGATGCGGTACCGGAAAGGGGGAATGCCGGCTTCGACACAGCTGGCATCGGCTGGCGTCGAAGATAGGAGACCGGAGATGATGGCCCGGGCAACACGGAAACGTACTTCTCTATTGTTGGACCGGTGGGTACGGGAGATTGTGCGGATGAAGATGATCCTGCTGCGACAGCTGGCCTTGACCCCTTGAAGGTGGTGGTCAAAACTGAGCGACCGATCAATGACAACCCCCAGCAGTTTCACAGTTTTCTTCAATGGGATAGCGTGATTATCGATCTTTATGGAAGGTCCGCAGACCCGATGTCGGTACTGGAAAACGTGGCACCTAGCGCTCTTTTCAGCAGACCACTGAAAACCTTTCGAAGCGGCCCTTCTGGCTACGGCGGAAACCCCTGCTTGTGCTCTAATCCTCGTTCGTCCCGGAGTTTGACCTGTGGCCGAGCCTGTGGCTACGATTCGAACGTCGTCTGCGTACACGAAAATGCAGATGTTCGCTGGTAACCGCTCGAAGACACTGTTCATGGCTACCAGGAACAAACTGACAGCGATCACTGAACCTAGGGGAACGCCAGTTTCCTCGCAGAAAGTGCGGGATTTGGTATTACCTACCGATACTCGGAAGGATCAGCCAGTCAGGAAATTTCGGACAAAATGGATGATATGGCCGCTAAGGCTCCAGCTGACGAGTTACTTCAGTACCGTGGGCGTCCGTACGGTTGAAGGCTTTCGCGTCGTTGAAGACGCCCGCGGTACTGAAGCAACTCAATCTGTGTAGTTGTGATCCATTTGGTGAATTTTAATTTTAATTTGCCAGATAGAAAATTTTCAAATAAACATCGAGATAAACATGCTATTGTACTAGACTTATTTTTGGCAGACCAGGAATTAATTTTGATAAACGCCTTTTCGGAAATCACACAATCAACAGCAGAGAGATTTTCGAACATTGTAATTTATTTTCGAAATGTCAAATTCTAATGTTTGAAGATCCCTCTGTTGTTCATCGTCCAACTTTCGAGAAACTATTTGTCAAAATTGATTCCTGGTCTGTCTGAAATAAGCAAGTTTATTTGAAAATTTTCCATCTGTTAAATTTAAGTGAAAGTTTACCTAATGGATCGCAGCCTAAATGTGCGGGGGTTGACAGCTGTAGTATACTCCTAGTCTCACCATCGAATGGCATTTGCTAGATAAGATGAGGTTAAACAAATAAGCTCTGCAAACAAAGCTTTTTGAAAACAATTTTATGAATATGTAGCTGGAATAAATGCAAGGATTAAAAAGGAGGACATTTTCGGGCAAAAGGAGGATGTAGAAAAAATATTGAAAAAGGAGGACATGTCCTCCTTTAAGATACCATATGGTAACCCTATCCATCTCCGAGCGTTCGTCATATATTGGCATGTTGAAAAAATAGTCTCGTCTGAAAACTCAGGGTACACCTTCCCTTGTTAGTAAAGGGCAAAAGCCAAGTTTCTGATGGGACGTATTATTCCAAGACAAAAAAGAAGATGTAGCCAAGTATGGAGAATCATTCTGTAGTAATTATAGCTGACCCTGCTCCATGATTATTGGTGTACCCAAAAATGGAATACCGTGGTTACGCCAACGAAGTGGAACAAAAATCGAACGAATAGCGTCTTCGACATTGTCGACATTGTCGAATACAGTATTCTCTCCTTAGGTGCGCTTATTTGATACATACAGACGGCAAAAAGTCAGATGAATAAATAAATAAATAAATAAATAAATAAATAAATAAATAAAAATTTATAGAGTCTGCCCGAACAAAGTAAGGACTCTCTTGTTTATGTTGATACCAATACTGTAACAAGTTTCTTAGCTAAAAAAATTGTTATTTTTTAATTTCTCGTAAACGCTCAAGCATTGTTTATGAGCATGTTAATTACTACGGCATTTCCTACAAGTGAAATTTCAAGTGTAAATCTCATTTGGATACGTTATAATAAGGAACAAGATTATACTTATTCCGTTCTCGCTACAAATAAAATTACAACATACATTATTGTAGCGACACTGTACTCCTTTAATCTAGTACGTTGATTGCTGTACCGATTAAAGGAGTACAACGGTACTACAATCATGTCTGTCGATGGTTTTAATGGGGAGATTACTGTGTACTTTCTTCAAAGTTCTGGTTCTAGATACGATGACGTACGTATAGGTAGCGGGCTGAGACAACATCAGATGTAGCTCACTTAGCAAGAACAGGCAGCAGTAAAGGCTGCGAGTTTTCTCAATTTTCCCATTGTTATTACTCGGCAGCGTACTCTTAGTGGGTGTGCTACAGTGAAGTGCGAGAAAAACGCGAGATGTTATTTAAAACTTCGTGTGAATGTTCAAGTTCAATCTTTATTCTATTTTGAATTTTCTCGTTTTCTCGAAGTTTTACAAATCTGATTTTTTTTATTAAATGTCCCATAAGATAGCTATACATTATTAAGTCTCTATCTGACCTAACCTTTTTCATGTATTTTAATTCCATTTCAGTGTTCTGATTTCTTCAAATTCATGCTAGGTAAGTCAATCACGTTATATATTGTACTAAACCAATTATTGTTATATTAAATGCAAACTGTACGTAGTTAATGAACAGCCCCTATGCTGTTGTGCAAAAACTGCTGATATAATGCGAAATGTCTACTGGAATAAAGATAATTGTGTTGTGTGTGTGTGTGATGCGATCAAGGTTGTTAATGACGTTATCGTACGATTAACAGCCCTGGTTGTGATCTAACCCGAGCGTCTGTTCACTATGGAGGTGTGGCTCAAAATGGCGTCTGTCCTCCATGTTAGGAGCGGATGTTCATCGTCCTAATGTCAGCGTAGGCCTCTAAACAGAGCTGTGCACGATGCCAAGATATATCTGCCCAACAAGCCGCCCTGGAAAAATATAAAGTTGGCTATGTGGTCATGGATCAAGTAGACTTCTTCAGACAGAAGAGGACATCAAGGGCTTCGCCTGATTGGTAAGGTAAGGTGAGTGTTGTGATCAAGACAGATCGATAAAAAAATCAGATATCATATCAAGGACTGGGGGCGTCCTCGGCGTAGTAGTTAGTTGCCTCTCACGCCATAGTCATGAGTTCAAATCCCACCCCCGGATAGGTCAATGACCCCAGAGTGTTAAAGTGAATGTAATAAAAAATAAATAAGAAATATAGGATTACTTTCGAATAGATGAATCAACATTAATTTATTGTTTTATTCAGCATCCTGAAAAGTTTTCATGTGATAAGGCATGTTTTGTAATTGCTTATTGTGCCTTTATGTTAACGACATAATGAGCATATGTTAGGCACTGAAAATAAGTCTGCATATAAATTATTTGTAGAGATATGATCAGAACTAAAATTTATGTAGTTGAAGATGCTAATTTCAAATAACAGACTGTAGTGGTAATTTTTATACGATAGATGGAGTAGATGAAAGTATAGAGTTGATAGTTCCGTTAGAGTACGGCAGTGTGAAAATTGCATATAGATAGTAGAATAGCGAGCTAGGACAACTTTTAAGGAAGGTACAAATCGGTTTTTTCATCTCTCTTTACCAAACTCCCCCTTTGGAGAGGGATGGTGAGGGGTCTCTCCCCCCGCCACCACTGGCAAAAAGAGATGAAAACCGACCGCTCAAGTACCAACGATGTGTTTGAAACAGTTCTACCGATTTTTTACCGCACTTCAGTTGTTATTTGAAGGAAGGCATCCCGTCGCAGGTTTGGAAATTGCAACTATTGTTTACCCCTACCACGATATGTGCTCACGTCATCGTCAACTTGACGATCTTGAGGGGGCACGGGTGGGGTAGGTGCTGCTACTGTACCTTTCGACCAATGACAGTAATTGATGGTATGCTCCCATCCAGAGTTATGTACTTTGACTATATGTTTAAGTATTACTTCTGCGTGAAATCAACGATTTACATAGTTGAAGATGCTGATTTCTAATAACAGACTGTAGTGGTAATTTTTATACGATACATGGAGTAGATGAAAGTATAGAGTTGATAGTTCCGTTAGAGTACAGGAGTGTGAAAATTGCATATAGATAGTAGAATAGCGAGCTAGGACAACTTTTAAGGAAGGTACAAATCGGTTTTTTCATCTCTCTTTACCAAACTCCCCCTCACCATCCTTCTGGAGAGATAAAAAAACCGATTTGTACCTTCCTTAAAAGTTGTCCTAGCTCGCTATTCTACTATCTATATGCAATTTTCACACTGCCGTACTCTAACAGAACTATCAACTCTATACTTCCATCTACTCCATGTATCGTATAAAAATTACCACTACAGTCTGTTATTAGAAATTAGCATCTTCAACTATGTAAATCGTTGACTTCACGCAGAAGTAATACTTAAACATATAGTCAAAGTAAAATTTATGGCTATTTAATGGGCCCTGATATAGAACATATAACCTATATTGTCTAACTGACTGATTATTCACACAGTATCACTTACGGGTGGAATGTACATAAGCCTCAGAGACCGTTTCTTTTTTATGTGTTATCAAATAGTAATATCTCCAAAAATTGGTTGTACATTGTTGATTCAAATGTTTTTCAGTAATTTAATTTTTTTTTGTATTAATTTATTTGTTCAGGCTCAATTGAATAAACTTTACAGAGCCAAATTATCATTTGCGTCTTAAATCTAGAATTAAAGGAATTGTTCATTATTCCTAAAACATTAACTTATTCCTATTCAATTTGGTATCAGCAGTGTAATTGTACAAGTATTTTCATTTTGATCAAACTGAATTGCGCCATTTCCATTCATTTGGCAATGCCTGTTCCATACCATCTATGAGAGATTTTCTTCCTCGCATGCCGATTAAATGTCGAGGAGCGGCCCCGTATAAAAGTAGACTTTCGGTTTCAAGACATGCCAGTCTCTCTTCACGTTTGTTGCCTTGTAGACAAATCAGTGGACTAACGTTTCACGTGATATTTTTTTTATCGCTATTTGCCATTTTACTAACCCCACAAGTGCCTGTGTTGTAATATATTTAAGAAAACGTTCTAAAATGGTATGTTTAAAATTGTTATTGGAGATTAATCAAGGATAAAAATTATTACTTTTTAAACAATCTACGAATAACAAAAACAAAACTATCACGTTTATTCGTTCATGTGTGCAGCGTATTCAATCACACACAATAGTGAAAATGTTTCTGGGATGATTTGACAAACGGCATTATTCCACGCAATGTTGGTATCATTTTGGTCTTCTAATAAAAATTCTCTTTCCTGTTTATTTAGTTCCAAACGAAAATGTGGCGCAACATGCAATCTAATATCGATTCGTCTTGAGTAATAGTAGTTCAAGGAAATCGCCCTGAATGGTGGTTTTTAGGTATTCCTCAAGTTATTGGAATGAGATTGGATCTTGGAATCATAGTATTGTGAATTCGTGGTTAGTTTAATTTGCTTAAAAATAAAACGATGAAGGATCAACTGAAGGGGAAACAACCGCTATCCAGTTTTCACGTCAGTTTGAACTATTGGTAAAAAACAATACTTGTGAAACCCTGTATACTATAAAGTTTGATTCTACGTTTTTGTTTATAAGTATTTAAATTAAAACACTTAACACTGATTAATAGGCGTCCCATTGGCAAAAATGAGAGTATTGTTTTAATATCGCATAGAACCCACATGCATTTTTTACCTATTTTTATTAATCTGAATGCAAGCCAAATTTGGATAGACATTTGAAGAGCATTGGTGGTGTCGTCCATTGATAGTTATTTCTTTGTTGTTTTCCAATTGAGCTATTTTTTTATTTAGTTGATTGATTTGTTGGTTTTAATATAGAAGCATTAACTATCCTGTCATCATTTGTCTCTTTTTGATTTAATTGTTTTTTTTTAAACTATTCATCTACAAAAAAAAACAGGCGAAAAATATTCCGAAAAAAATAATGCATGGAGGTTTTTTTTTTCCTAACGATCGTTTTTTAAAGTGGAAACAGAACAAATCTTTGGTAGGGTTGTTCGGTAATAATTAAACCTTATTGTCCTTTATTAACTAGTGACATCTTCTTCAAATTAAGTATTCCATTGGTTCAGGGACAGTCGAGAAAAAGCTGAGGGTGGATGGCACTTCTCACCGCGCACTTCGTGGTTTCCTGTACTAAGTATGTATATCGAGCTCTATCGAATACTTGGGATATGGTCTCGGGAGAGGGAGAATATTTATTCGCGGTTGTTAATGTTGAACGATTTTGTTAAAATCCGTACTTATTCGCGAACTAATCATATTTCTATTCCTGCTTCTACTGTTCCGCACCAGTGAAGACGGTTGAGTTTTTATGTGAGTTTGAGCGGATATGCCACACCTTTCTTGAATCGGCACAATGATTGATGATGCTAGGGGTAGACGGGGCAAGACGGCCACCCAAAGGTTGACAACATGTTTATATGTATGTAATAATTGCGATTTGTACATTGAATCATTTTCTACCCTTGTTAGCTGAAGTCTGTTATAGCACCCAGTGTATTACATTTTGGATAAGGGGTTGTTCATAAACTATGTAGACTGAATTTTAGAGGTTTTAGACCCCCTCATCCCCCACGTAGACAATCGTTAATATTTTTTTTTGGAAATTTGTATGGACCGTAGATATTTGCCAATAAAAGTTTACGTAGTTTATGAGCAGCCCCTAAACATATATTAAAAAAGTAACTTACACCGTTCTCAGACAAGATGAGCATTCCTACGTGGTTAGACCACCCATAACAGAAGTTGTTTTTATATGATACTAGCTGAGTGAGCCCGGCCTTGCTCGGGATTCAATATTAGCTTGAGTTTAGGCGCCGATATAAAAAAGAATGCTATATTTGTCCCCTTACAGAGGGGGGAGGGGTCTGGAACCATCATAAGAACCTTTCTCGGCCCAAAAACCCCTGCATACAAATTTTCACGTCGATTGGTTCAGTAGTTTCCGAGTCTATAAGGGTCAGACAGACAGACAGAAATTAATTTTTATGTATATAGATATTTGAAGTTTGTCGCAAAATTAATTTAGTTTAATAGATAAAAATTTATTGAAAATTTCAATAAACGAATCTTAAACAGGTTTATTGTTTATTGCAAATTCATATAACAAAATTTTTATTTCGATATGAAAATGCTCATCAGCTTCTTGATTGTTATAGAAAATTTATAAATCATTTTCTGTAACGTTACATCACCATCATTACGTATGTGCAATTTATGAGAATAGAAGATTTTAGATGTTAACTTTAAGGGTGCCCACCTTGCCCCGTCCACCCCTAATTCCATTTTGCGTAGCTCCCGTTTCTGCTAGTTGGGCTACATCGTCTCCATCGTCTCTAATTGATTGAACCGAACAAAACAAAAAAAATGAACTCCGAACGATGCGTTTTGAAATGATCCGTTTCTTGGACTGTTCGTTCGCATCACTTAGGTACCTACTGCATTAATGTGTTCATGAACCATAAATTTTAATTTCTGGAATTGCGAATTTCATTTCTCTTAATTTCCTGCCGCATATTGAAATAGCGCGTGGCCTACTGAAACGCGACAACTTCCAGATCAACGTATTCAAGTGTATTGGTGGTGTTTATGGGCTGTGTAAATTGGTGAATCAATGTTAGCCGCCGTGGAGAATAGAAGAACTGCTATGAAAGTGATGATTATTTCATATTTACGGAGAGCTAGGAATCTTAAAATTAAATTGTTCTGCTATCAAATCATTTTAATAAAATCTGATTATTGCTACGTTAGTAGAAAACTACCCAATAGACATATATTATAAAAAAATAATTTCTTTCTAGATTTTAAGTTGTACACTTAGATTTTCTACCACCGTAGCAGCAATATTTGCAATATAAAAGCATTTTACGGTTGCTCTCGAAAAATGTGAAATTTTTTGAAATCATCATCACTTTCACAGTAATTTTATTCTCCCCAGGGGCTAACTTTGATTCGTCAATCTTAAAATACATTTATTTGACGAGCAAATTATTTTAATAAAATTGACCATTGAATTATTCTTATATTTGAGTTGTGTTTACTCAAATTCGCAAAAAAAGTAGGTCACTCATAAACTGATAAAAATTTTACTCAATTTTAATCACATTTGAGTCAAATTTACTCATATATGTGTCATATGTGAGTAAAAATTGACTCAGTCCTTAAGCAGTGACTTTCGTTTTTTTCGAATTTGGGTGAACGCAATTCAAATATGAGAATAAAAAAAAATTATTGGTTACGTGAGCAGAAGCCAGAGTTTAGTGGGATACTGTCGTAAACCACCGCCCGAGGATCGCAGGATTTATTTCGGTCGAATGTTTCCGCCGATCAACCTAGAAGCGTAGCATGACTGATTGGGCGAGAACATGGGTGTTTCCCCTTTCCAAGCAAAACTTTATTTCATCCTGGAGAAAAAAAAAAGAAGTTAGTAGTCTCTTCGTTGATGATAACCACATTATTCTTTCGATCCACCCCCGCCCCTGGCACGCTACGTCCATGGATCATGTGCCCCGCTTGAGGTTATTTATGAATGCATTGCATTGAACCCAGGGCTATCATTGTTCCCAGTGTCCCACATTGGGACGAAATAAAAAAAAAGTGGTACATGGCAATTTGTGACGTGTAGCATTTTGGTATCTTCTAGAATGAATCTTAATTTTTTTTTGAGTACTTTATTTGAGTAGTGAAAATATTTGCTTAAGGGGGTATACACTCAGATACAACAAATATGTTTGGAAATATTGTAGATGAAGTAATTTTAAGAAACTTTGCCAAATACGTAAATTTTCTATGTCTCAGTTTTAGGGTGAAAATGGAGTACCCCCTTAAAAAGTGTTTTTTTTTTACTTTACCTATTTGTTTGAATTTTTACATTTTTGAAATGTTCTACAAAGTTGTAAATGCTTCAAAAAAGCACATTTTTGGACAACAAAACAAATCGCTATCTCTTCGTTTTAAGGATTTGATGATGATGATGGTCCCACCTCTTACCCCTACAAAGGTTTGAGCTGGACGATTTATCTTTAAGATAATTAAATGTAAACATTTTAACCAGGTTAGCAAAAAACAACGAACTGGTTATATTTACAGATATAAATTCCCTCTAGAGTTTACAGTTCCTTCACAGCGATATAAATGTGAAAAAGCTTAGGCGTCCACGTCTTAGTTCGCCTTTTTGTTCAGCTAAAATATTCATAAGTATTACAAGCGATCAAGAGTTAATGAACAATCAACACGAACCCCCAACATTTGCCAGAAAACTTACTACTAACTCAAGGTATCGTCCAAATAAGCTTCAAAATTGCATTTTTTTTATCAAATGTTAAATTCAGTCCTCTATATCCGTAATAAGCGCGCGAGGCTCAAACCTTTGTAGACTACTATTTTTTTACTAAGACTGCTATTAAATCAAATATCAAAAATCCATCATCACCATCGGGGCGAACAAAATAGTTTTTGCAGTGCTACAATACTTATTAAAAAGTCGTTGTAACAGCTATCCATACAAAATAATCCGTTGAAAATAACTTCGTCAAGATACATAATTTGTCAATTCATAAAAAAAATCATTGGATAACCGTTCAAAAGACAGTTTTAACGTGTGAAATGCAATGTCTCTTAAATTCTACTAATGTTGTTGCACGTTTAATGTGCCTAGGCATCGAATTAAAAACATTTATTCCTTTAAAAAATAATGAATTCTGTGAAGCACAAGTCAAGAAATGTGGTGTTCTTATTTCATCCACGTTTCTAGTATTATATCTATTATAGTCACTTCCTCTTTCAATTCGATGACACAAATATCGAAGCAGCAAACCGTTAACTACTTTAAAACTGAACACCATAGTCAAATATACAATTCTTTGCTTCACCGACAACCATTGTAAGGCGTCTAGCATCAAAGTTAAGGAAGTGAATCTATTGCATCGCAAAATCAAACGCATTATTTTATTCTGCAAGCGCTGTAATCTCGATATTTGTGTTTCATTGGACAGAAATAAAATGGATGGGCAAAAGTCTAGATGAGGAGAGATGATTGATTTGTATAGCTGTATTTTACTGGCAACAATTTTTCAATCGACATAGAATTCCATACTTCTTGGTAATTTTCTTGATGACATTGTCAATGTGAGAGTTGAACTTAAGTTTGTCATCAATAATCACGCCAAGATATTTAATCTCCTGAACGCGATCAATAGTCTCATCATCAATTACAACAGAGACGTTCTCATTTAATCAATTCCGCGAAATTACCATGAATTTAATTTTACTTGTATTCAATTTTAACTGCTTACACTTCAATTATCTACTTAGATATTGCAAATCTTCATTCATGTGTGAGACGGCAACTTCTAAATCTTTAGCTGCAATGAATAACACAGTATCATCTGCAAAAAGATTAATGTCGCAAAACCGTGAAACACGTCGCAAGTCATTAATATACATAATAAATAAAAGGGGCCCTAATACACTTCCCTGGGGCACACCATAATTATTCCCCACGGGACTGGAAACAGAATCATTAAAAACAGTCCGTTGAGTTCTGTCAGACAAATAGCTTTCAAACCATTACTCGTAATTCCAAAGCGCTTGATTGTACTTAACAGTAAGGGCCTAGAAATTGTTTCAAAAGCGCGTTTCAGATCCAAAAAAACAGCAACAATCGTATCTTTACGCTCCAAGTTGTCTTTCCACTTTGCTAACACCAAATTCAACACAGTTTCACAAGAATGACCTTCCCGATATCCCGATTGTTCTGGTATCAACAAAGAGTTGCTATTCAAATATTCCAACGTCCGTTTTTATAATTTATTAAACCTTGCAGGTTAGCAGGTATTACCAGCTTATTTCAATGTCATTTCGTTCAGCAACTTATACCCTACTGTTTTTACATATACAATTCAAAGGGAGATCTAAGGGGATGCCTAATACATTCTCAAATATAGTACCTCAATGCTTTGTTATGTTTTACTGTTTTCATGATCATTTTTCCTAGAATGTACATTAAAGTGTGTCAACTTTAAAATCCCCTGTTCCCAACTGCTCTTTCAATGCGTATTAAGGTCACCAACAACTGGGCAAAATTGGAACTAATTTGGATATAAACTCGATCTGCAGGAGAATTATAAATTTTGTATGAAAAAATGTATGGCAAACGGAACCTATTCATTTACAAAAATAAGAATAATCTATTGGACAGCTTCGACCGTCGGCGTTATCAACGACCAGTGGTTATTTGCTGGTGCCACGTGCACTTTGACCGTCGGTGTTTTGAAGGGCCAGTGGTTATTTCGGCCGACTCAGCATGCCTTGCTGGTGGCCCTCTTCACGTGCGCGCCCAAGACTGGTATACTGCCGTTCTACGCGTATCTGTCCCATGTTACTTATGGGCGTTTTTCACTTTTGTTCATAAAACAGTACTCTTTTAGGTAGACTTTGGATTGAAAATAGAAAAACATATTGTTTGTTCTGGGTTTGTATAAAAATAACATCAAGCCTAATTGTCCCTTGTTGAAATTCTACGCATAAGTGTCCCACAAAGATTTTCTCGACTGAATTTATCATTACGAATCGATTTGTGTACACAGCAAAAAAATAATTTTGATATCACGTCAAAGTGGATGCACTACAATCATGTCGAAAATATGGTGTAATATTACTTGCTAAAAAGGACAAAATTATCAGTAATACAATGCATGAACTGACATTACGCTGCTTTTACTGCATTTGTTTATTTATGTGGTCATACAAATTACATGAAATTTTTGACATGAGTGTAGTGCATCCACTTTGATGTGATATCAAAATTATTTTTTTGCTGTGTACACAAATTATGGAAACAGGATTAATACAATCAAAAGAAACAGTATGAACTATTTTAGGAAGTGGCAGTTTTATTTAATGATGATTAATATTAAGAAAATCAGGATTTCATATTAAAAAGCCAGTTCCTAATTTCAAAAAAATGCAATATTAGACACTAATGTAGACACTCGCCACCCCCCACACTCGCCCTATAGTGTCTACTAGAGAGGGTCTAGTATAAAAGAGAAGCGGATTCAAAACAAACTGCCTTTGCAACCTATGCCTGGGTAGTTTCTAGCAACACTGCCAATGCAATCCAGATAGCCGTTGCTCGATTGACTCTGGCTTTGACAGTTCGTTTGGCTCAAAACCAGCTAGTCCGCTTCTCTCTTATACTAGACCCTCTCTAGTGTCTACGTGTTTCATGAAAAGCCCCTTATATAATATAATAATACGTAATATAAAGGTCAACTCCGTACGGAAGAAATTTGCATGTGCATGTCAACTCTTCCAAAGTATTTCTTAAAATCATCGAAGCCCACGTTCAACGATCGTGTAACTTATTGATCTTTTGTCCACAGCATGTCAGCCATAAATCTATGGTCGGACTCAAAATGATTAAACACAATCTCCTTTAGGCCTACGTTCATTTTGCTAAGGAGTAGAACAAGATGCTATGAAGTTTATGTTCTAAATAGTGCATTCATCATTAGTTTCTTGAGATGCCCATACTTCAAATGGTTTTATAGATGTGTCAACAAATTTATTGTTGGTATAATTTAATGATTGAAAGCTATACAAACTATCTAGGATCTTCCAAAACTGCGGAGAACGCAAGTACGCTCATGTACGCTCAAGAGTAAAGACGTCAAACGCAACGTGACCATCAAAGCAACACTGACAGTAACAGTTCCTAGTGGGACTAACATGCGTAGAATTTCCTACTTCAGTGCAAATTTCTAGGCATAACAGTCCCGTTAAATATTGTTCGTATAAAAATAGGCTTAACTGATTTCATTGAAGGTAATTTCTGTAGTTTTCACTAAAACATATTGATTCTGTTGAAATGTGAACAATGCGCTAACTTGTTTTAACGTATATTTCTTTCAATGAGCAGAAATGATTATAAACATTATTCGTGATTTTCTCAGAAGGAACTGTTGAAACATGGGACTGATATGCGTAGAACGGCAGTATACCATCGGTGATATCTACAACCAGTTGGACTATTCCGGCCGACACAGCGTACCTCGCTGGTGATCTTCAACCACGTGCACCTCATCAGTCTATGTTTGCAACGAACGGTGGCGATTCCGGCCGTCTCAGCGTGTCTCGTTGGTGCCCCCCCCCCCTCTCGTGCGCTTCTTGAAATGGCACGACCGTCAGCGTCATCGCATGGTTACCTCTCACTCCAAAAGGCCTGGGCTCAATCCCGTCAGCGCGCTAGGATTTTCTGGCGCATAAAATCTTTGATCACGCCTTCCATCGTTTATGAGTTGATGGGTCGATAGGTAGGGTCCAGGTGTGGGAGTTGTCTTCCTGGCGTCGGTAGCATTGGTACTTAGTACTCGATCAAGTGACATAAATTGTCAAAAGTACAATGTTTTAAAAGACGCCTTAAATTTCATTTTGAAAAATTGGGGGAGACTTGATCCACCTTTCGATATCATATTCAATATTCATTTTCACATACATCCCGGGTTTAAATGAGTCCATCAAGCCTCCCAAGATTAAGTGTTCACATTTTCAAACTTTGTTCGGGCTCGTGTGACCAAACGATGATGGATAAAGTCTGAGTATCTACTTGAATTCGATCTGCACAAAATATTAAAAGAAATAGCACTAATGTTAAAAAATCTATTAATTGTTTATTGTGCTAACGTTATGGTCCGACATATAAAAATATATGAAACATGACTAATAAAAAGTTAAAAGTAGTGAAAATATAGCGCTCACGAAAATATATTTGTTGCTCAATTTCATGGAAATGTCAGTATAAGTTGACCATAAAGTTTTACAAAAAAATATCACATGCCCGAAAAAAATGGTTATGGTTTTTGAGAAACCATCTGGTGATCAAGTTGTCCGCCGGGATGTGTTCAGTTTTCCCTAATGTTTGGTGGTGCTTTGACATATCATTTTAATAATGGAAAACATCGACTATTTCCATCAGATGTTATGTCGATTTTTTTTTTCACTTGTTTTAGGATGAGTGCGCGTAAAATCGATTCAGGCCACTTTTTCGGGGCGTCCAGAACAAAAGCTATCAATAACAAGTACGATCAATGATCTTGTATTTGAATTCTCATGTGCTTCGATGTGTCGCTTAATGGGATTTTGGCATGTTTTTTGTCGTTTTTGGTTACACGTGTTCACCGGAATATGTTCCGGTCCTGGATTAATATCGAAGGTATTTTAACGAGCTGAGTTGTTTGATTTTTCGGTACAATTTCCAAGCGGCAATAACGGCTCATGAAAATCATCTTTCATTGTACACTTAAAATTACGAACTATCGGCAGCAGAATGCCATAAAAGTCTTCAACTGATCGTTCCATGCTATTATTTAGTTGCCTCTGAAGCATGCAACAATTATCTTAATTATACCGTATCTAGAAAACCCAATTCACATCCTACCCGATCGTTTAAGAAGACAGTTCGAGTTTCGAGTTTCATTAGCCGATGCTCAATTTCTTAGCTTGCTCACCCACCCACCCATCGCACATCAATAAATAGTGTTGATTTTGATTTACAGAGAGAGTGCATTTCGGTTCACATTGGGCAGGCTGGAGTCCAAATCGGAAATGCCTGCTGGGAGTTGTATTGCCTTGAGCATGGAATTCAACCGGACGGACAATTGCCATCCGATAAAACCATCGGTGCTGGTGATGATTCGTGTAATACGTTTTTCAGCGAAACTGGTTCGGGCAAACATGTTCCACGTGCGGTTTTCGTCGATTTGGAACCCACAGTAGTTGGTGAGTAGCTCATTACAATAAAAAAAAAAATCTTCGCTAATGTCTTACATATTCCAAAGATGAGGTTCGCACTGGAACCTATCGACAGTTGTTTCATCCCGAACAGCTAATCACTGGAAAGGAGGATGCTGCGAATAATTATGCTCGAGGACATTACACTATCGGAAAGGAAATCGTTGATTTGGTTTTGGATCGCATCAGAAAACTTGCTGACCAATGTACCGGGCTGCAAGGATTTCTAGTTTTCCACTCCTTTGGTGGAGGTACTGGAAGTGGTTTCACTTCGCTTCTCATGGAGCGTCTATCGGTCGACTATGGAAAGAAATCCAAGCTTGAATTCTCCATCTACCCTGCTCCTCAAGTGAGTAATAAGCTCCGTTGTTATATATTTTACTACTTTATTTAAGTGATTTCCAGTCGAAATGTGTTATACACCAATGTTAAGTTATATGTAAGCTAATACGTAGTCTCGCAGTTCCATTTGCCCCATTTTCAAGCAGTAATGCTGCTATATACTTCAGGATAATTATCCTTACACAATTTTACTCACACAACCATATCAGCTCCATAATTTCGTGACGAACCTTACGCTGGTTCGGGTTTTCGGAGGACTACGGAAAAGTTTTGTTTTGTTTCCTTCCCGAAGAACAGTAAACAGCCTCAGATAAAATCAGGCATACTGTTGGTCTGCTTTTCGTATGCTATCGATTTTCCTTATTTTCTAGGTCTCGACTGCTGTGGTGGAGCCATATAATTCAATTCTAACCACCCATACCACCTTGGAACATTCCGACTGCGCATTCATGGTCGATAACGAGGCCATCTACGATATTTGTCGCCGAAACTTGGATATTGAGCGACCCAGTTACACCAATCTTAATCGTTTGATTGGCCAGATAGTATCCTCAATTACCGCATCGCTGCGATTCGATGGGGCCTTGAACGTTGACTTAACCGAGTTCCAAACTAATCTTGTTCCATATCCCCGAATTCATTTCCCGCTCGCCACGTATGCTCCAGTCATTTCAGCTGAGAAAGCCTACCACGAACAATTGACTGTAGCCGAAATAACGAACGCTTGTTTTGAACCGGCAAATCAGATGGTCAAATGTGATCCACGTCATGGTAAATATATGGCCTGTTGCATGCTGTACCGTGGTGATGTTGTACCCAAAGATGTCAATGCTGCGATCGCAACTATCAAAACTAAACGTTCCATTCAATTCGTTGATTGGTGTCCTACTGGTTTCAAGGTCGGTATCAACTATCAACCTCCAACGGTTGTTCCCGGTGGAGATTTGGCCAAGGTTCAGAGAGCTGTATGCATGCTGTCGAACACTACTGCCATTGCTGAGGCTTGGGCTCGCCTGGATCACAAATTTGATTTGATGTATGCTAAGAGAGTATGTTACACTTGGTTTATTCATTCTAGTTAGATGTTTAATTGTGTTTTATCTTTGAAGGCATTTGTACACTGGTATGTCGGAGAGGGAATGGAAGAAGGTGAATTCTCAGAGGCTCGTGAAGATTTAGCTGCCCTTGAAAAGGATTACGAAGAAGTCGGAGTAGACTCTACAGAGGAGGTCGGAGAAGGTGACGAATACTGAACAAATTCCAACACAGCTGCACAATCTGGCGATGGAGAATGTTTGTGTTAAACCAATCCGATTATAAACCGAGTGTTCAGTCACCCACTGTTTAAAAAATCAATGCTTCGAAGAACCAGGAAACTGCCTACTTTTTACACATTATTTCACCATGTTTCAAAAGAGACCATCTTTTAACAAAAAAAAAAAAAAAAAAAAACACACACACACACACACACAAATGTGCTCTTTAATTATACAAATCATGCATAAACTCTCATAAAGGATCAATTGTTGGTTTTGATCTTCGATACTCCCTTCGTTCTATACAGTACCATCCCATTTTTGGCAAAACATGATTTGAATCTTCTTGAAACTTTCTAGAAAATCCATCCAATGTCACTTTGACCCTTCTCTGTGGATTGTATCTACTTGGTATTTAATGAAAAATTGTCCAGAAAGTACTAGCGCAATTCTGAGGAAAGAATTAGTAGATGAGGTCATGTTGCCAAAAACGGGAATTAACTGTGTTTAAAAAACCTGAATTTATCCACCTATGGTGAAATCTGACCGACCCTTCTTACTAATATAAATTTAATTTCTGAATAATATCTAGCGTTCAGAACCATAAGGGTCTAACTGCGATGATCGATTTTCTTGTTGCATTGCTACAGTCAAGTGAAAAAAATTCCGAAAATGCAGTAATGGCTATCAAAAACAATAGCAAAGTCACCGAGAAATGATTTATCCAACCAAGTTTTATTAACAAAAGAGACAATCTATGAAGAAAATCGATCATTACAGTTCGGCCCTTGTGATTCTGATCGCTAGATATGTTGGTCTGTGTCTACATTTTCATGCTATACATTTTGGATCATGGCAGATTTTTTTCACTTGCCAAGGAGCACTCGGAACATGCACGGGAGTGACCAGGAGAGGTCAGGGAGAAAGGTGGACATTAATCGAAAAACAAACCATCTCCAGTTCAAAATATGTGCATTCCACATCAAAACAGATATTCTAGCTAAAATAACCTCAAATTATTTCTACTTTATTTGAGAGTTATCAGAAGATACAACTATTAAAGCTGAAAAACCAAAACAGCATAGAGGGGAAATGTCTCTAATGTTGGCCTATGGATCTAAGATTGGGCCCATCGCTAAAAATCTGCTATCTATCAATTTTATCTAGATGAACGCGTTATTGGGACGTTACTAATGGATATTTTTGGTTGCTATTGAAAATTTATTCCATTGCTGAATTTATGTATGGGCCCAAATTAGGGACACTTAGGCCGACATTACCTGCATTTCCCCGATATAGTGTGTATATTCCGTATCGTATTCAGTTCCTAATCAAAGTTGCAATATACCATTTTTTAGATTGAAACTCAGCTTTTTGATTGCATGTAAGGATCCACACCCAGCATGGATTACTTACTTACTTACTTAAGGGTCCTGTGCACCATCAGCGGTGCAAAAGGCCAACGTGAAAGACTTCCATCCTGGGCGGCTGCTCGCTTTTGCCTTGACCTGGGCCCAGGTCAGATTCCTATCGACTTGCTTAATTTCCTTATTGAGGCTCCGCCGCCATGAGCCCCTGAGTCTGCCTCTGCTGCGATGTCCTGCTGGATTCCAATCCAGCGCTTGCTTGCAGATTTCGTTTCCACCCCGTCGAAGTGTGTGGCCGACCCACCTCCACTTTCGCTCTCGAATTTCTGTTGCTATCGGCTTCTGATGACATCGACGATGGAGCTCGGCATTCGAGATCCAGTTAGCCACCAGGCACGAATTATATACCGCAGGCATCGGATGATGAAGACCTGCAGCTTTTGAGTGTTCTCCGCTGATACACACCACGTTTCGCTGGCGTATAACAACACAGATTTCACGTTCGAGTTGAAAATTCGGATTTTGGTGCGTTGACTTATTTGGTTGGATCTCCATACGTTTCGTAAACTCGCAAAGGCAGCCCTAGCCTTCTTGATTCGTGCACCTATGTCGCTCTTGGTCCCGCCGTCCGACGCTATTTGGCTGCCAAGATATTGGAAACTTTCGACCTTCTCCACTGCTTGCCTCGCTACCGTAAAGTTGGAAGGGTTGCCCGTGTTGATATCCAACGATTTGGTCTTGTTGACGTTGATGGTGAGACCCGCCGCAGAGGAGCGTTCGGCTAGGTCATTGAGCTTACTCTGCATATCAGAGCGCCGTTGTGCTAGTAGAGCAACATCATCAGCCAAATCGAAGCCGTAGAGATGCTCCATGGTGATAGGCTGCCAAAGCAGCCCACGGTTCGGTACACGGTCAATTGCACCTACCATGATCTCGCCGATTACGATGAGAAACAGTAGCGGTGATAGTATACATCCTTGTCTCACACCAGCGACTACCCGGATAGGGTCGGACAAGGCTCCGTTATACAGAACTCTGCACGTGAAAGCCTCATACTGCGCTTCGATGAGGTTGACGATTTTATCCGGGACTCCCTTGCGTCTCAGGGCGCCCCACAGATTCTCGTGATTGAGACGGTCGAAAGCTTTTTCGTAGTCAATGAGTACCAAATAAAGGGACTCTTGGAATTCATTGACCTGCTCCAGGATGATGCGGAGCGTAACAATATGGTCCACACAAGATCTTCCGGCACGGAATCCTGCCTGCTGCCGTCGGAGAGTCGCGTCGATCTTCTCCTGTATCCGAGTCAGGATAACCTCGCCTCGCCTCGCCAATTGTCGCACACAGTCAGATCCCCCTTCTTTGGGACCTTCACTAAGATGCCCTGCATCCAGTCGGCCGGAAAAGTCGCGGTGTCCCAGATATTACAGAATAGTTGATGCAACATTTGTGCGGATAGCATGAGGTCAGCTTTGAGCATCTCCGCTGATATGCGATCGACCCCTGGAGCCTTGTTGGATTTCATGCTTCGGATAGCTGCTTCAATCTCCTGCAGTGATGGGGCCTCGGAATTGACGCGAGTGATGCGCCGCACCCTAGGCGGATCATGCCGAGATGTTGATGTGAATCAGCGTTTCAGCTAGTCAGTGGGGTCGGTAAGCAATTGTCCAGTCGTGTCCTTCACTGGCATCCTCGGGTTCATCCTTGATCCACTCAGGTGTCGTGAGATATCGTAGAGGAGGCGTATATCGCCAGTGTTTGCGGCTTTCTCCCCTTCGTCCACTTCGCCAGGGAGTTCACCCACGCTTGCTTGTCCCGTCTGCAAGAGCGCTTGACTTCCTTCTCTAGAGCCGAGTACCGTTGACGGGCTTCGTTCTTGGCTCCTCTGGTTCTCGCCCGCTCTATCGCGGCTTTTACTTCTCTACGCTCCTCAATCTTCCGCCAGGTTTCATCTGTGATCCACTCTTTCCTATGGGTGCGCAGCTCACCCAAGTTATTCTCGCTTGTTTCTATAAAGGCATTCTTGATGGCCGTCCATTGTTCTTCTACGCTGCCACCTTCTGGAACGTACGCAGCTCGAGTCTCAAGTTCTTCAACAAAAGACCTTTTTACCGCTGGATCTTCAAGTCGGCATGTGTTGAACCACCGCCCGAGTCTCTCCTCCCGTCGCTGGATCCGCGCCATGCGTAGGCGGATTTCGCCGATTAGAAGGTGATGGTCAGACGCGATGCCGGCGCTGCGTTTATTCCGGTCATCAAGAAGGCTCCGTCTCCATTTTCGGCGGTCGATCTGATTTTCGGTATGTCCATCACGGGAAACCCACGTGACTTTGTGCACTGGCCGATGGGGGAAGAGCGAGCCCCCGATCACTATGTCGTTACTGCCACAAAATTCTGCAAAGAGCTCAACGTTCTCGCTCATTTCGCCGAGACCATGGCGTCCCATGACACGCTCATAGTCCGTGTTGTCGGAGCCGATCTTCGCATTGAAGTCGCCAGTGTAGATCTTGATGTCACCCTTTGGAACCTTATCCACGACGGCATTCAGTTGACTGTAAAAATTCTTCTTGTCCTGTAGCTCGGCAGCATCGGTTGGCGCATAACATTGGATTATGGTAAGGTTACGAACCCGTGTTCTAAATCTGGCAACAATTATCCTCTCATTAACAGGCTCCCACTTGATGAGCGCAGCACTTGTCTGGACGCTAAGTAGGAGACCAACTCCACGATGGCGGGGAGCGTTTTCACCTCGAATACCAGAGTATAGTAGTACCTGTTCCGACGGCAGTTAGTGTTCTCCAAAGTTTGGCCAACGAACTTCACTCAGTCCCAGGATTTCTAGCTTCATGTGTCGCGCCTCGTTGGCGAGTTGTGCCAGTTTACCCTGCTGGGCTAACGTCAATACATTCCATGATCCAATTCGTGTCCGTTGTTTTGCGCTAAAAGTCGTTGCCGTTAAATCAGTTCGATGTCTTTCTCTGTTGGCTTCTGTAACAATTGTAAAGGTTTCAGAGACAGTACGTGGTTGGCCTTAAGGTCTCCTATCCGCCGTGATGGGGCTGCCATCTTAGGTGTAGCTTCCGGGGAAGAGCATTTCTGATTCAGCTGCTGGATGCCAGTCAGACGCTGTTTGAGCCGCACCTCCATGGTGAACAGACGCTCGGGTTGGCGAAGCATTTCCTCTATCACCGTGCTATGGTTACCGCGCCAGTGTTCGCGTCGCACCTCCTCACTCTGCTATTGTCGGATTGACAACATTGCCCAGGCTACGCCAACCAGCTGTGTCCATGTTTCAGCTGGCAGTCTTTTGTGATCATATGACTCGTGGAGGCGTGAGGTAGGAAATTGTGAGGAATTCAGATCGGTAGCTCAAATTGATCTTGCTATTAAGTGACAATACAAGACAAGAGCTTTGAAGGGATGGTGGCTACCTTACATACATACATACATTTTTTTTTACAGGGGGGAATCTGTTCACAGACACCTGAGAAGGAACTCAGGGTGTGGGGATGGGATAATTTCACTCCCGACCCACTAAACCTTACCCTGTGCGCTTGGTCCTTTGACCTCCCCGGAACCGCCCGAAGGCATTACTTCGTGGGAGGGGCCGCTGTAGCGCTATGGCGCCTCTCTAGCAATACTCTAACGATCTAGTCGGGCAGTAGGTAACTGCTGCTCGGCTCGCCACTGTCGTTGTAATACCGAAACTATGTGGGTGACCGCAGTCACCACCGCGCTCCAGTTCTTGGTGGTACCACACATCCTAGGAACGATGTTATCCGGACTGGTATCCGCTCCGCGTATCGCTAGCATAGCGCTCGATACTGGCTCGAAACGTGGACAGGCGAACACAACGTGTTCGGCGGTCTCCTCGACACCAGCACATGTGGGGCAGATGGGAGAACTTGCGTGTCTGAACTTATGCAGGTAGCTCCTAAAGCAGCCATGGCCTGACAGGAACTGTGTCAGATGGAAGTTTACTTCCCCATGGCGCCTGTTGACCCAGCTTGATACGGAAGGTATCAAACGGTATGTCCACCTCCCCTTTGTGGAGTTTTCCAACTCCGATTGCCATCTTGCGGTCGACACAACTCGGGCGTTGTTGCGCACCCCTCGAACGGTCCTCGCGTCATAGCACACCACATCCTCCTTAATGATAAGGCTGTATGTACTGGCCACCCTCAAGCACATTAGCCTGTGTGTATTCTCTAATTTCTGCCTGTGGCAGTCAATATCCAGTACCGCAGCCCACGCAGGGCCGCCGTATCTGAGGATAGATACTACGACCCCAGCGAGGAGCCTGCGCTTACTGGCATTCACTGCCGAGCTGTTTGACATCATACGGGATAATGCCCCCACAGCCATAGACTCTCTCTTGCAGGCGTACTCAGCTTCGGCGAGCTTATCATCGAGCATAACCCCCAAGAGTTTCAGAGAGCGCACAGACCTAATTGTGCTTCCGCCGACTGTCAACGTCGCATGCTGTACTGACATGCGATTGTTGACTACGACCACTTCCGTCTTGTGATGGGCGAGCTCCAGTTTCCTGGTTCTCATCCATTCCTCCACAAGTCGTGAGCCGCTGTCAGCTCTACCTCCTCGAGGGATTCCCCGCAGACTACCAGCGTGACATCGTCGGCAAAACCTACAATTTTCACACCTACCGGGAATTTTATCCTCAACAGTCCATCGTACATGACGTTCCATAACACCGGGCCCAGGATGGAGCCTTGTGGCACTCCTGCGGTGACTCTAACGCATTTTTCGCCACTTCTGTGTCGTACGTCAACACACGATTCTGGAAGTAGCTTTCCAGAATCTTATACAGCCCTCCGGGAAAAGAACCTTTTGATATGAATTTTAGTTGGGACACGTTGAGAAAATTAACTCTTGTGGAAAATGTTTGTGGCCCTGAAAAGGACCGATGGTAGTACAGGCTTTGGAAGTTGATGATGACAAGGCAAGGATTTGGTAAAGGAGTCGCCATATACGAGGAAACCCAAGGTGTGCCGAGAAAATGTGATCCGTGATGCCGTCACTGAACACGCCAATGACAGTCCCGGCCATGGAGCCATCGTCTACGCATCATTATCACCAACAACCAAGTAACAAAACGGCCCTTTTCAGGCCACCAAGTTCATTTAAGAAAAGAGTTAGAGTAGAATTTTTAAAGAACTACTAAAATAGTTTTCACCATTAAGTCAAGGATATTTTGATCTCATTGATGCACTGTTCCATTGAGAGTAAGTTCGAAATTTGGAAAAGTGGATGGAACGCTTTGGATGCATATTATGGTCGAAATAAGTCAAAAGAAATCATTCATTATCGTTCAGTTTTTTCCTAGAAATTTTTGGTATATAGTATTTTAATTTTAGGAATTTTTATGATTTTTTTATGCAGAATATGCAAAATGGGAGGGACTTCAAATGTTAATCCTCCCTCCCCCACCAAATCTTACCAAATACATGGAATGTTGAGATATTGAGATCGTGAGAGTGAATTTACTCTTTCAAATTTGAATGTTTTGACTCTCTGGGGATTGGTAGTAAAGCGGTTAAAAAATGTATGGGAAAAAAACCTTTTTTATTTAATTCTAGCTTATTTAACAAAAAAATCCAGGAAAAAACTGAACGACACAGTCCATAAACGATTTCTTTAGGTTGTCGTTAACTATTTTTGGAAAGCTATGTGAAATTCACATGGATTTCATGCATTACATATGTGATATGTTTTTTGAGTGTATATCCTGTTTTCAAGTTTGGTAACATGATTACAACTCTGGAGAGCATTTTGTGTGGTCGTTGGGAGCGTGTGGTTCTGAATATGGCGATGAGTGTGCAAAATATTACTCAATTCCATCATCCATATTCACGCACGCACCCGAGTATCGGAGGCGAATGCCACTTCGACTTGTTTCGTCTACTTACTACTCTCTGACGACTGTGCTGGGGAATATGCATGGACAATGCTGGACATTTACCAGTTTTTCAATAGTTTATTGTTGAAAATTAACATTTGGAAGCATTATTTCTGATCGATTGGTGATAAAATTTTTGAAATTGGACCAGGGGCAGCTGAGTTATTAACGTTCAAAATCTTTCTAAATTTGTTACATGTTCCATTTTCAGTTTTCACAAAGTGTACCCACATATAGAAATCATAGACGAAGTTCTACGTCAAAAGGATGCTGTGGCGCAAACACTTGTTGGGGAGTCTCATATCATTAATGGGTAATATAAATCTTTATGTTATAGATGCTTTCTTGTGAATCACAGCTTTGGTTTTAATTGAATTATTACTGCTGTTAATTATCTTGGTGCCATGCTTTCAGTCTCGAATAGGGCAAATAGAGCACTGAATGAAAATTAATTTGTTTACTATAGTATAATGGAGGCATCCCTTGTCATTAATGGCAAGGTGACTACAAAGCAAGACCTTTACTGGTGGTGGTGGGTTCGATTTCTGTTCCGGTTTAGGAACAGTCATGTTGTTGTGCTAACCACACAATATTCTAATAATAAAATGGTTTAACCCTTAGAAAGCTCTCAATTAAATTAATAACTGGGGAAGTTTTCAAAGCACCCTAAGTGGAAAACAAGTGTCAAGTTCCAGTAGGGTTGCAATAGCCAAGAAGAAGACGAGAACTATAGTGTCATGTATAATGATGCTTTTTAGCCGCATGTACTAACGGTACTAACAGATAAGCAATGTCTCTCGGGATGCATAATCGGAAAACGAAGTTTTTTTTTGTTGATAACCGCTTCGTGTGAGTATATCGCACGAGGAGGCAGGAACGTGAGACTACCTTACCTTTGCACATTATGACTAAAAGTCCGTTGTATCATTCCTATCCTAGAGTTTCGCAAAGGTGGTTTAGTTTCCGAGCTTCTCTACACTATGAGAAGAGTTGTATACAGTATAGTGCTTGTTCTTACACTTAAGTTCATTGGCTTGACGACAAGTGATAGTGCTTTTATCGCTAATGATCAGTGTAAACAGAGTGAGGTATTTCTATGGCAGAAGAACGTTTCCATTTCAACGGATTGTGACTGTCCTCCCAATTTTATCGCTCTGATTAGCGAAGGTGGCAAGCCAACCTTCTGCATAATGCTTACAAAACCACATATCTGGAGTAATATTTGCATTTCAATGGGAAGTACAGATGATTATTACGAAATTACTGTCAAGGAAAGAGCCATAGTAAATTCGTTTCTAAGAAATGCAAATGTCACCGAATTCTGGATATCAGTGCGAAGAGAAAGTGCATTCGATCCTCCACAGAAACAATTACCTGGAAGTAAATGGGGAGCACCACTGGAGTTTGACGAGGATTATGATTTGGAAGTTTCCATAAATGCTACGGGAAATTGTCTTAAAGCAAACATTACCCGTAACTATTCAGCGGCGAGTTTCGAAGACTGCAGCAATCTATATCCTCAGTTATGTGTATACAAGCGAGATACGATGCTGCGGTTACACTGTTCACCAGATGAGTACACTACTCGTTATGCTTATTTTCAAAAATATTGTTATAAAATCGAAAAGGCATCGAGTGTGCGAAGGCAGTGGAATCTATACGATGTCGATAGTCACAGAAAATTCCAGTTGTATCAGAATCTAGCAAAAGAATCATCCGTCAGGTGTGAGAGCAGTATCGTTCAGTCAAATTTGACTTACCATCTCCAGCAAGCGTTTTTAAATTCAGGACAAGCAAACGATGAGTTGTATTACGTTGCGATGCGCTTCGATGGTATAATGACGCTGACGAAGGATTTTGACTGTGCAGCATACCAGTTCGAAAGTGATGCTTTTAAGTTACCCGATATCAAATTGAACTTTGATCGGATTCACAAGAAACTTCTACTAGTTGTTAGCAATGGTCGCTTTCTGTGGCGTGAACGAACCAAGGATATAGGAATTGTCTGTTATACTGATGCCGATACCGAACTGTTAAAAGAAGTGAACATCAAACGAAAAGTATGGCCTCCGCAAGCTCAATTTCGAGCAGACGAGCAGGAAATCTATGAGTTGAAACTTTACGGCGACTTTCCCGGGTATTACTGGTGTGAGGGGCATTCGGTTCTTAACTTCACTCTCATCAAATCGGATCGAATAGTTGCTCAGAAGAAGGATTCAGATGTACACATTTATTCAATTCTGTTGGAGGTGTATTCTCTGGAATATGAAAAAGTCTGGCAAAAGAATAATCTCAAACGATTAATGAAGGATTATTTGCAATATCTAAAATCACACGACGATGAGAAAATCCACAGATTAACTGATCTGCTGAAAGGGATGCAGGTTATGAAAATTGGATACATTGATCAAGTCTTCAACCGGATCAGTCTGATTGTACATGTCTCAGCTAGATACACTGATGACGTCGATGACCTGGAACCTGTTGTTGGTAGCTATGCGGGTAAGTTCTAGTCATCAGTTGCAAAAGCTTACTTGTGAAGTTAGGGATAGGTACTATTTATTGTAGCATTTTTCTTATATTTCAAAAGTGAGAAGGTGGAAATGATGTTTACTATTTTTATTGATTTTTCTTGAGTTGAGATTCTGACTCTGAAAGACATGTTTGTAAGATGAATCTATCCTATTTATAATTTTGTTTAGTATAATTTCCTATAGTTTAATATGTTAGACAATATGTACATGATTTCAGTTTCCATATGCTTGTATTCTCTCTACAAATTGAAATTAATATGTTTCTTAACTATTTTTTTTTCTCTCAAAAATAATGATAATACAACCACTGTCTATGCTTGATTCATAAGAATTTGTCTTCGCTCAGCTTATGATGGCTTAGAAAGTTATCTATCCATTTTTCAATAACTGGAAGGTTTTCTTGACTCCATTTAGTTTCCTCTTTGATATTTTTCAAGGACTTTTCAATGATGTGTTGAGCAGTTCCGAATTCCCCTTGCCTTTGTACGTACAACTGAGATACCATATCGTAGCCTTCTTGTGTGGTAAATAATCCAGTTGCAGAATTTATCAAATTGTTCCACAAAAGCTCTCGGTCTTTGAATCTGTAGGGGAAAAAAATCATTTCAAATTGGAGGTTTACTAAACTTGTATAATCTGTAATCTTATCAGTTTTAAGAACATCAAACCTCAATTTAATGGCATCCCAATTCTTCTGTAAAAATTCAAATAATGCCATATAACCGCTGGATCCACCGGAAAGCATTTTGAATATGAGGCTTATATCATTATCGGTAAAATTGCCATTATCCTCCAGCACGGTGATGTTCAGCAGTCGGTTTATCTTGGAAGCCTGTACCGGGCAGCCAGCTAGAGTTTTCAATAGATAAGTGCGTTCGCTCTTAACGCGAGATTCCGGGAAGTTGATTACACGCTGTAAACCGAATTCCCACTCCTCTTGTGTGCCAGACTTGAAAACAGGGCAAATATATTGATTGGCTACTCTGTAATGATTTATATGAGTTGAGAACCATTACCCATTAAACGCTGTTCTAATTTTCGTATACGTACGGATTTCCAAGATCTGGTTCAGGGCTGTCCATCCATTTTTTAAAAACTTTCTGGGCCTCTTCTATGCATGGTTTATATCCGGCGCGGCATAAGAATGTCTTAGCCAAAGATCGTAGGTTAGTTTTCCACTTCTCTTCGTTGTCACGTTGGTTTTGAACAAGTTCCTCGTACAGTGGAGTAAGGAGTGTTCGCACATAGATTTCGAACTTTTTATGAACTGCCGACATGTCAATATGTCTACCAATGTGATCGATTAGAGTGAACACTGGATTCCACACGAGGTGATTTCGTTCGTACTGCATAAAAAGAGTCATATTGAATGCCGTTGCGAAGCTTAAATGACCAGCGTAAGCCAAATTCCAGGCATCGTGCAACAATTTAGCTCTGTCAAATTAAAATATGATAAACCTGTGGCTGTTCGTATTCGATATTAGCTTACATACCTTGTGTAAACTGGAATTCTAGCTCGGCCAGCTTCATCGAGTAAAAAGTTAGCAAGTAGGTTCCAATTTCGCTCGTCATAATTCACTGGGAAAGGACCTACTTCTTCTGGATTCACAATAATGAAACCATCTGAGTTAGGTAGGTTTTCTAATACCACTTGTTTGACTTTTTTCATCCATTTGGTAGCGCTGGTGTTTGTAAAATTGAGATTGTTTTGTTGCACAACCACTAACGGTATCCACCACAGCATCTTGTCCTGCTCTGGTACATCATGAGGGCGTTCACGAAGGTACACTCTTTGCGTGATCGTTGCTGTCTTTTTTTGATAATCCCTTTCAACGGTTACCATGGGAATGCGATCTTTCGTAATCCATGATTCGGCAATTTCATTAACGGTGGCAGATTCACAGAGTCGGTTATCCAAATGAGCCTGTTTTGTGAGTGCTTCCCAGATGTCATTGCTAACGAATGTTTTATATTCACGATGTTCTATAAACCTTTGCAAACCTTTTTGGAAAGTTTCCGCCCCCAGAGTAAGGTTGAGCATGCGAAGCACGAGTTCAGTTTTGCTACAGGTAGTTTCCTGTTTAATCGCCGTGATTCGGGAATGGGGATATCTTTTGCTGAATTCATAGTAAATCGAATACAAAATCGTCATGGGCCATTTACCCTCAAACTCTACTCCATTATCGATTTCAATAGCTGTTGACGCCGCTAGGAAGCCCGCAACAGCTTTATTGACATGAGCCTCGCTCCACCAATGCTAAAATAGATTTTATTTAATTTGTATTTAGAACCAACTGAAACTCTGCATAACACGAAAAACTTACCGGACTTATCCATGCTCCAAGCCATTGGTATACAAATTCCTGTGCAATTCCATAGTATCCGTTTTGCAAATCGCTTTCTCTTCAAAATATCAAATAAGGATGCAGTTGAATAATCAGATGTTGATGAAAAATCAATTAACTTACCTGAAAACCACCAATCCCCAGTTATCTGCAGGCTTCACGGCGGAGAAGTTCGGCAGTACGATAACATCTAGCTTTTCTAACGGAAAACTTACATTCCAATAGTTGATGAGGTACTCGAGAACAATTTTTAGTTTGTATTTAACATCTTTATTTTGTTCATGAAACTCTTTCCGTGCCCACAGCTTGACGATTGGTTTTGTAATTTTATTCTGTTTGTCGTCACTATCTTCTAGAAGATCTGATACTACAAAACCTAACGTGAATGTTGATATCGGAGGGGTAATTTTGAAATGATCTGCAACTTTGCCGTTGGAAATAGTTTCACTCGATGCGATATCAGTGTTGAAGAGTGTATGATAGCCTTGTGGTCTAACAATCGTCACCTGGAAGGGCACTTTATATGCTGGCTCATCAAAGCAAGGGAAAACACGTCTTGCGTTATGCGGTCGAAAGTATGAAGCGAAGTAGGAACGGTCTTGTTGCTGGTCTTCATCGTAAATTTTGTATTTGCCTTGGAACAATCCTTCCGTATTTTCCCAAATCATTCCTTTAAAATTAATTCGTGCCTCATACAGACCGCCGATGGTGAGATCATCGTGGAAATAAATAACTAAAAGTGGCTTTTTCGGTACTCTATCCACACGGCGAATTTTCAACGTGTTTGCTTTTCCGTTATCAGTGTGTTGTACTAGCTCGATGTTCTCTTCATCGACTTGCAGGTCGTGGTGGGCATGGAGATTAATTTGATTTGTTTGCTTAGTGCATGTCATTGTTATATTGACGGTGCCATGGAATGCTAGCTGATCGGCATCAAGCTCTAATCGTAGCTTGTAGTTTACTGGAACTAGATCAGTTGGCAGCCTATTGTCCGGTATCAATGGGTTGGTAGCGGACAGATCAATGCTGCGGCGGATACGATACTAAAATACAACGGTATTACAGAGATCGGAAAGTGCAAAGTTGTGTTTCGTCACATCAGTTTTAGTAGTACTAATTTATTATTGTATGGTATTAGTATATAGCATGTTTGAACGTTTGCAAGATAAAATAATAATGTTGACCGAAATTGCACTGAACTCTATGTCAAAATATGTCGTGATTTGCAATTAAATCGTTTTAACTGTTCACAATACTCGATATATTATTCAGTAGGTTAATTGAATCAAATGTATTTTTTTTTCCTTTATTTACAAGGCTTTCAGCCATTGGCTGGTTCGCCTTGGCTCAAATGTATTTAATTAAGCCAGCTTAAGGAGTATTAATCTTACTACGTCATAATCATAATCTAAAAGCAGTTCAAGTTCAGTAATTATTTACCTGTCGCCATGAGAGCACCGGTGTTGCAATTAACAACATCATTGCTAGTAATGGGATGCGATACCACCCCATGTTGGAGAACAAGCTGTAAAAGTAAACAGGTGTCACAAGTTTTAGTGAATTAATAAAAAATTAAAAAAAAATAAATAAATTTGTCTTAAGGGTGACCATTTCCATGTAAGGGTGGTCAAAAAAAATGTTTTTTTTTTTAAATCGCTTGAAATCGGGTCTGACATAAAAAGTGACTGGTTTAATTGTGTCATACATTAACTTTACCTCCTCTACTCGCATCTTACATACAACAATGATTATTATATTATCTCATAGTTGTATTTTAGCTGTAATGAACATTTGCAATCTTGCTTATATGTCTTCCAGTTACCAGATATTTCTACAAAAATTCGCCAAAATATTCGTCTCCTCTTTAAATTTGGCCTTAAAATGCATGGTTTTCTATGGGCTACAACCCTGGATTTGATTGATTTTTAGATATTATATCTTTAAACATAGATTAATACAAAACGAGAAAAATTATTTGTGTTCTTGACCCATAATTATGGTGTTTTAGAATTATAATATTTGGTTTTAATTAGTTAGGTAGGTTCCGAATCAACACATTGTAGTTTCATTTTTATACCTGTGATCTTGACTTTTATACCTAGGGGATGAATACTTAAGGGGGTTGGATTTTGAATAGTTCTTTAGTGGGAATGACACTGATGAAGACTGCACATTGTAGTCGAAATACGTATCTGTCATGGATACCAAAATTAATTAAGTGGAATTAAATGGAAGATAACCTTTTTTTGCTGTTTTATTTAAGCATTCCGCTAACAACCCAATTTCATTACTTCAATAAAAATATAATATTTTTATTTTTATTTCGTTCTTCCAATCAAGAGTAGGAAGTTCTGTCGAGTTTTACTGAATTCGTGATTTTTGATACCATGCATAAAATATACCATCACCATTACTTTTTCTTCTTTTAAATGCTGTCCGTAATTTTCTCTCACTAATGTATGTAACTTTGAATTTTTATTTCAGATAAGATTTTTTTTTTAATTATCCACTGAGCTCTCGAAGATTCAGGTTTGGCCCTTGGGTAAGAAATCAAACTGTAACATTTTCAGGTATTGGTCCTTCTTTTGTAAGAGTAGTTCTTTTGAAATTAAATGTTTTCGATATATTTGAAACAATGAATAAAATAATCATACACATTATTCTTCCCTCTTTAAAATGCTGCTCGTTCTTCTCTCACACAAATCTATTCAGCTGACTAATAGATTTTCTATAGCATTTTTTTTTCTTTTTCTTTCGGACTTGACACTAAACTTAAAAAAAAATTACAGATTACGAATCAAGCCCTAAGTCCTCAGTAACATTGAAAAATACTCTTCGTTGATTTTCTCTTTGCATTCCCACGGCTATGTATAGACATTTCCAGCTATTTCCAACACATAGTTCGATAAATGAAACTAAGTATTATCTAGCATCTAATAGGGCAAACATGACAAGAAACGATTTTGTTGCCAAGTTATTAACGAAGAGAAAGTAGACGAAGATACTCGATCATTGTTACTTACGACCAGATACATTGTTCGGTTTGTTATAAATATAGGTTATATAAGTAAATGTAGGGTTTGTTCGGTGCTCGATAGTTCCCGCGATTAATGTGTTGAGGTGCTTCAAATGTGGAGAATTTGGGCACAAGAGCATGGATTGCAAAAATTGTGATAGATGCTCTAGGTGCAGCCAACAACACAAAACGTCGGAGTGTACGTCATCTGTATTGAAATGTATTAATTGTTTGAAAATGAATAAAGAACGAAAAATGAATTTGGACGTCAACCATGCCGCATTTAGCTCGGAATGTTTGCTCTATAAAAGACTTTTTGATCAGAAGAAAAGCAGCTTGCGTTTCAATAAATAGCAGCCAAGTTCCAGGAATGTGAATCAATTCGATTTCTTATACTTGAATATTGCGGGGTTGTCAACAAACTACGTAGCATTACGTCAGATTGTTGAGGAAAAACGTCCTCTTTTAGTTTTATTATCTGAAACTCATATTGTAGAAACTGAAGCTTTTGATCAGTATAGTATTCCGGGATATATTGTTGTTGCTTGTTTATCACATTCTAGACGCACTGGCGGTGTTGCTATTTATGTCAAAGAATCAGTTCAATTCAACCTTCGTACCAACGAAGTTACTGATGGCAACTGGTTCTTTGGCATTACAGTTGTACGTGGCATGAAGATGGGTAATTATGGTGTTTTGTATCATTCTATCTGTTCTAGTGACCAGCTTTTTGTTGAAGTTTTAGAGAACTGGCTCGAGACATTCCTTGATTCTAGTAAATTAAATATATTGGCTGGTGATTTTAATATTAATTGGCGTGATAACCATAATTCGAATCATTTCTTCAAATGCTGAGTTTAGCTGAGTTTTTTAATTTAAAGCAAACGATAAATGAATATACGCGTATTTCCTGGCACAGTAGAACTTGAATTGGCCACGTTTATTCCAATTTTGATTCCATTTGTTCAGTTACGGATACTGATTTGAAAATAACCGATCATGAGACTTTAGTGATTAATGTCTTAGACCATGTCAACGATAACGATAATTTTGTAAAATTGAAGTGCTGGAGGAAATATTCGAAGCAAGCTGTTTCAAATCTTGTTTGAGAGAAGCCTGGATTTTTCATTCGCGGTCGGTAACTTAGATGAATCTATAGCTGTTCTTAATAACGCTTTGAAAACGTGTACCAATCAACTAGTTGAGCAAAAGTTTGTTTCTTTGAAAAACTCGAACAGCTGGTACAATTTGGATCTTTTGCGTCTTAAACGGAAAAGGGACAAATGGTACAAAAAGTTTTGTAGATCTAATAATGACAATCATTGGACTAGGAATACAATCGCGCGTAATAAGTATTCACAATCGATAAAGAAAACTCGTTGTGAATATGTTCAAAGGAAGATTGATCAGCATCAAAACAACAGCAAAGAGTTATGGAAAATTTTGAAATCTTTATTAAAACCTAGTAATTGCAAACCGCGGTGCATAACTTTTAATGGCACATTAGAACAGTCAGAACAAGTAATTGCAGCTAAGTTTAATGATTATTTCGTAGACAGTGTTTCATTGATTAATCAATCTATTGAATTGGTCGATGAACCTGACGAAATAAAACAGCCAGTTAATAGTAGTTGCAGATTTGAAGTTTTTCACCCAATTACATTAGATGAACTTAGAGTTATTTGTTTTTCATTAGGAAAATCGGCTGGAGTAGATAATGTTAATGCTAGAGTTATTCAAGATTGCTTTCATGTCATTGGCCACATCTTTCTGGACCTTATAAATAAATCATTGCAGAATGGACATGTGCCACAAATTTGGAAGGAATCCTTAGTGGTTCCTATTCTAAAAATTGGTGGAACGATTAAAACCGAAGAGTCTCGTCCCATCAACATGTTGCACACATTAGAGAAAATTTTAGAACTTGTTGTTAAAGGTCAGCTGTTGGAGTATTTGAATAGCAACTCTTTGTTGATACCAGAACAATCGGGATATCGGGAAGGTCATTCTTGTGAAATTGCATTGAATTTGGTGTTAGCAAAGTGGAAAGACAACTTGGAGCGTAAAGATACGATTGTTGCTGTTTTTTTGGATCTGAAACGCGCTTTTGAAACAATTTTTAGGCCCTTACTGTTAAGTACAATCAAGCGCTTTGGAGTACTGCATATAAATGGTTTGAAAGCTATCTGTCTGACAGAACTCAACGGACTGTTTTTAATGATTCTGTTTCCAGTCCCGTGGGGAACAACCTTGGAGTGCCCCAGGGAAGTGTATTAGGGCTCCTTTGATTTATTATGTATATTACTGACTTGCGACGTGTTTTACGGTTTTGCGACATTAATCTTTTTGCAGATGATACTGTGTTATTCATTGCAGCTAAGGATTTAGAAGTTGCCGTCTCACACTTGAATGAAGATTTGCAGTATCTAAGTAGATGGTTGAAGTGTAAACAGTTAAAATTGAATACAAGTAAAACTAAATTTATGGTAATTTCGCGGAATCGATTAAATGAGAACGTCTCTGTTGTTATTGATGATGAGACTATTGATCACGTTAAGGAGATTAAATATCTTGGCGTGATTATTGATGACAAACTTAAGTTCAACTCTCACATTGACAATGTCATCAATGTGACAGAATTGCCAAGAAGTATGGAATTCTATGTCGATTGAAAAACGATTCAACTATTGCCAGTAAAATACAGTTATACAAATCAATCATCTCTCTTCATCTAGACTTTTGCCCATCTATTTTATTTCTGTCCAATGAAACACAAATATCGAGATTACAGCGCTTGCAGGATAAAATAATGCGTTTGATTTTGCGATTCAATAGATTCACTTCCTTAACTTTGATGCTAGACGCCTTACAATGGTTGTCGGTGAAGCAAAGAATTTTATATTTGACTGTGGTGTTCATTTTTAAAGTAGTTAACGGTTTGCTGCCTCGATATTTGTGTGATCGAATTGAAAGAGGAAGTGACTATCATAGATATAATACTAGAAACGCCAACCTGGTTAAAATGTCATATTTAATTATCTTAAAAATAAATCGTCCAGCTCAAACCTTTGTAGGGGTAAGAGGTGGGACCATCATCATCATATAGATATATGTATATTAACCTGAATATCTCTCAACAACCCAATCATTGATGCTTTGAGTTTAATATGGATTTGATTGCTGTGCTGCATATTGTCTTCTTCAGATCAGCAATTTTCTTCGCTTAAATGATAATTTTTTTTTCCAACATTCGATCTAATTCCTATTCAGCCTAATTTTTTCCACTTTTAGCCATCGACTGGTTCGCCATTCAGCCTAATAACCATTGGCCTCATGACCCAGCATCGTTCAGACTTTGGAGTTGTATAAATATATAAGCGGTTTTCTTGCTACAAGTACAATGTATCACAATTGTTCTAATATCACAATTAATCTTGTATTACGAAAATCGTCCATGACGCGTTACAACACGGTTATGTGAACATGACATCAGAAAAAAAAAATATTAT